TTTTATTTGTAAAACTAACAAACTATACATTATTGGACGTAGTTTTTCACGCTGATTCCGAATTATTTGTACGAAAAAGTGCTTTGGTGAGAGAGAAAAATGTGAAATACGCGAAAACCCCTTGGGATTTTGGAAAATCCATAAAACCTCCTTGGAAAATATGCGAGATTTCGCGATTTTAGAATACATAGAGTAGCGTTCACTTACACATACATAGAGCGCGAACTTCAAGGTTCGAGCGATCAGTGTTTGTTTAGCTGCAAGAGTTTAAGTCTTGAAGAAAAGTCATCGAATGACAAATACCTAGATGTGAATCCGAAAATCGCATCGGTGAGATCGAAAAATGGAAAGATCAGGAGATAATCAGGATTTTTCTAACAAATCAGTTTTTCGAGATATTTGACGCCTTCACAGGATTTTGAGATTTTCTGCATGAAAACTCGGCCAATCAAAAAAATAAGGTCAGATTCGTGATCAGCAGCGTCCGACGAATCGGAATATGTGTTTGAAAATTCAAACGCTTGTTCACTTGATTTTTCAATTAGCGGCACCTTAAGATCGTATATGATCGTACAAAATCAGACACGATCTTATCTAATCTTACTATTTTGTATGTATGATCTCATAGGGTCAGATAAGATCGTGCAATATTGTGCGTACGATTCTAGTACGAAGCGTATAGTTTGGATTCTGTGACTTTTCGATAAGCTAGCTCAACCTAGGTAAGGCGGTACATTTAGCTAGCTTACCGATTTTTTCTTTTGCTTGGGTTCGGCGTCGATCGTACCATTTCTTACGTATGAGGTTATCGATGAATTATACATGGGTGGATAGTCACCTATTCAAAAGCGTTCTGTGGCGAAAAACTGGAAAATTGGCTTTGAGTGAAAGCCTCTTTTTTTCCGAATAAAGCCGATATTCCAAAGTTACATGAGATCGTATGACTTTTTGTTTTTTCCTTCGTATTCAGTGTGAAAAACTAAATCAGAAAATGTTATTTAGACGAGAAAATTGAAAATTACAGGCAGTTTTCCGACTTTTTCGCCTCTGATTTAGAAAAAATGAATTTTCTCAGCACAGAAAGGAAAGAAATGAAGTTACTCTTCTGTTTCGTAAAGCATAAAATCATCAAGACCACTTAGATAATTAGGAAATGGAGCAGCTTTGGAGCAAGGGATATGACAAAAGTCCTTTAAGTCCTAAGGTTTAAAAACGAAACGTTATAAAACGTATAGATTCTGTAGTGGTGTTTCACATTCTATTCTTCATCTATTCACTGGGTGAATGAGAAGTTAAACAAAAGTTGAACTTCTGACGCTGAAAAATCTTCTTTACCTAATTCGGGCACATCTTCAAGTTTGATTTTTACACCTGCACACAAACTGCCGTCACCATCGGCAATGTCGCCCACTTCTGTACATCCATAGCCTTCATACACTCTGTGAGCTCCAAAACATCGAATCATAAATTGTTTTACTGTATCACTTATTGGCGCTCCACCCGTAGATACACCCAACAAACGCGTTCCAAACATGGATCGAAACTGAACTGTTATTCGCTCTCGAATCAAATCAGGATCTTCCTGTGGATGTTTTTCTACCTGTGCCGCATATTCACATTGAAATTCCGAGAATAAAACATTCCAGAATCGAGGTGTACAGCCCAGTCTAGACGGTTGTAACAGACGAATATCTTCGAATATTCTGTCAGGTTCAGCACATATTCCTGTTCGGCCCCCACTGCAAAAAGTGAAATAGACATTTTCTCTTTCTGACATAGAACAGAGGGGTTCGAATGCTAGCTGAACAAGGGGTGTTAAAGTGGAAAGTGTAGTGCTGATAAATGATTTCCACAATTTTTCGGTGAACATGGCACCTTTCGGAATGCCGGTACTTCCACTGGTATGTATAATAGTTAAAAGGTCATTTTCAGTATCCACGGTTTTGTGTATAATGTCTATCCAATCGGCATGGTCAAGTAAATGATCCTCAGCGTTTTTAAATAAAATGACATGTTTTAACGAAGGACATTGAAGAGCTTGAAGTTTTTTCTGCAGTTCTTCGGACGTGCAAATGACGCATTTAATCTGACAATTGTTGATTACTTTAATGAGATCATCATCAATCATGTTCGTGTGCAATGGTACCGTGACAAGGGATTGAAATACGCAGGCAATATCAGCGACCAGCCATTCAATAGACACATTGCCACATATGCTAACAAAATCTCTTGCTTTTAAATCGAAATCAGTTACCAGTCGAGTACTAAACGAGCGTACGAAGCCATAGATGTCACCAAATGTGTACCATCTTATAAATGGTGTCAGAGAGAAACATGGTCGATTCCAGTAGCAATGAAATGCTCGATTCAAAATATCGCTGATACTAGAGCCGCGTTTCACTTTCGTCTGATATTCGTCGGTGAAGCACCGTTGGATGAACATTGAGTGTTTATGATCTTGAGTCTTGGCACATTTGAGACAAATGTCAAAATCGGCGCAGTCTACACAGTGATATCGCGCAACGCCAAACTCAATTTCATCGTCGCAAATATCGCATAAACAGCGTTCGTAACTACTAATAGTTTTCTCATCCAGTTCACATTCGTCTTTGAATTGTTTGAGTTTTGTGACTAGTGCATTTTTGCGTACACGGAGATCAGAAGATGCAGGTGAAGTTTTGAGTTGCTTCTGTGTTTCGGCTAATTTAGATTCAAGAAGCGTTAAATGATTATAAGCATACTCCGTATATGAGTCGACGATCATATTCTTGTTGCTCTTTCTATTAAAAGCAGAACGAAAAGCACTGATTTTGGTTTCAAGTCGATTAAAAAGACGAAAAATTTTTTCCGTTTTTATCCGTGGTTTCTCTCCAATATACTTCGACTCTCA